ATCATGATTCACGACTCGCCGGCCATTTCGGAGTCAACCGCACTATTGCACGGCTTCGACAGCGATTCCGATGGCCCGACCTCATTACCGATGTCACTCGGTATTGCGACTCGTGCGAAGTTTGCCGACGCAGCAAACCCCGCAACCGCAATCCCTATGGCGAGTTACACCCGATGCCTATCCCACGGGAACCCGGTCTCTCCATTCCCATGGACGTCATTGGTCCGTTTCCTCGCGACCGGCTCGGGCACGACGGCATCCTCACGGTTGTGGACCGATTGAGTAAGTACGCGTGTTTTCTCCCTTGCAAGTACTACTCCACGGCTCCCGAGCTGGCACGCCTCCTGCACACTGGTTGGATTTGTGGCCATGGTGTACCAGAAGACATTGTCAGCGACCGCGACACTCGTTTCATGTCGGCATTTTGGACTGCTCTCATGCAGGAGTCTGGCACAACAATGAAACCAAGTTCGACTCGGCATCCACAGACAGACGGGCAGACAGAGCGGGCACATCAAACCGCTCAAATGATGCTTCGTACGTCATTTATCCGGACTAGAAAGATTGGGTTGACCGCCTCCCCGACATCAAGTTCGCCTACAACACTTTGGTGCACCCGGCGATCGGCGTGACTCCATTCGAGTTGCACCACGGTGGAAGGAAAGGACGTATCTTCGCCAACCTTCTCCTCCCTCGACCAGCCGACATTGACGCTGCCTGCTTTCCCGCTTCCGTCCGAAAGTACAGGGAATTGCTGACTCAAGCCCGCGCAAATATGCAAAAGGCTCAAGTCCGCATGCAGCAGCAAGCCAACAGGCGTCGCGTACCATGTCTCATCCGCGCCGGTGATCTGGTTTGGGTCTCCGCGGAAGAGTTTGCACTGGAACAGGATGTTTCACGCAAACTGCTTCCCAAGTGGTTTGGACCTTGGTCTGTGACAGCAGCCACGGGAGATGAGCCCGATGGCCCTTCATTTGTGATCAACATTCCAGAGCATCTGACGGTCCATCCGGTCTTCCACGCCTCAAAGCTGGCAACATACACGCCAGCCAAGAGCGACGACTTTCCGGGCCGACGATCGCAGGACCCTCCCTCTATGGATGGTCATCAGGAAGTTGACCGCATCATCTCCGATCGCAAGTACGGCAGCAAGCCGCGGCAGTACAAAGTCACATTCAAAGCATGTGATCGCGACGACACTCGGTGGATTTCAAGCGCAGATTCGAAAGCATCCGCACCGCTGATCTACGCGCATTATGAAAAGCGGAGGTTAGCTCAGGAAGCTTCACGACCAGCCCCTCCCACCCGGACGGTGGTCCCTCCTTCAGACATACAGCTTCGCCCTCGCAGGTAAGCTCGGTTCTTCAAGGAGGGGGGGGTGTGGCATACTTCATAGCCACACGGGCCCTGCAGGGCCCGTCCCGGACATTCAGCCTAAAAGCCTAAAACATAGGGCTTACAGGCCCCGGTCGTTTCAGCCTGAAAGCTGAAAAACGAGGGCCTGCAGGCCCTACTCCGTTTCAGCCTATTTCTGGGTGAGACCCAGAGTGTTTCCAGCCTGAAACGGAGGGCCATTTTCAGGCCCTCATTGTTTCGACCTGCCCCTAAGACTCAGGCACGTAAACAGGGATGCGGAACAGGCCAGAAATAGCCTGTTCCTCACGAGCTCGAGCAGGAGCTGCAGCTGCAGCCCCTGCCTCCCTTCGGCATTGGCAAGAGCAGCCTCCTGAACTGCTCGCACGGCTCAGGAGGCACACCCGGTAGTACATAGGAAGTTCCCATGCACTTCACGGGTAGTTAGTTGTCAGTAGGCACGGGTAGTCTTCAGGATTCGGCCGCAGCACTCAGGAGGAGCGCTGCAGTAGTCTTCAGCGCTAGGCAGTAGTAGTAGCGCTAGTGGTAGTCTTCGGCACTGGGCGCCATAGCCATAGAGTAGTCTTCAGCGCTGGGCGCTGGTAGGTGGTAGATCGTAGAATGGGAGAGATACTGGCGGAGGCCAGTGGTACTTACCTGTGGCGCCATCGCTCCAGCTCCATCTTCGTGGTACCTGCATCAAGGCGCCAACTTCACAGGTTAGTACTGGACAAAGAGAGAGAGAGAGTTCTTCTTCTTCCTCTTCTAAGTCCACCATCTCTTCTCACCCTCTCGCCACCTGACTTCTCAGACTACGACAGAGAGAGAAAGAGTTGTGACTTGAGACTTGACGACATTGGATCCAGACTGGACATTGGGATTTAGACATTTCGACGAGGGACTATTTGGGCCTGTACCGAGACTTGGTGTTGACGACACTCCCATCTTCCCCTCCTCTTTCGTCTAACCCCTCCTCCTTCGTCTGTGTATGGTTGGGGCTGGCGCAGTCTTCTTGTGTGAAGCGCCAGACCCCCTTCACACCAGAKAACGATGATGATGATGTGTGTTCAGRRCTGCATKGCAATATTGATTGTTCGGATCATTCGTATCTAAGTCTTCCGCTGTGTTATCTTGTACTTTGTATTGAGAGGTCGGTTCTTGTTCTGGTCTGCACGTTACAGTATGCAACAGTGTGTGTGGCATACTGATTGATTCCGATTTCGAAATTGGATCTGAACCGTTGGGCCCGATCAACGGTCCAGACCCGAAGGCACTCAGTAGGACTGAGGCTGACCCAGCACTACATAAGCTGGGTACCAGCCTCAGTCAGGGAGGTTAGTAGAGACAGGAGGTTAGTCTACGCGTTAGTCTTCAGGATTATCGCAGCGCTTCAGCGTTAGCAGGATTAGCGCAGCGCGGCAGCGTTAGCATGAGCAGCAAGGAGAGAACGAGCACAGCGGCGAGGAGGAATCAGCGCAGCAGTTGGAACAGCGCCAGCCCCCGGCCCAGCCCGCGGCCCAGCGCCATAGCTACCGGATCAGGTACCAGGGAGAAAGGCCTTGCCTTCTCTCCCTCTTCCTCCTCCGCCACTCGTTCCCTCTCTCTCTCCCTCTCTCTCGTCCTACCTTCTAAGTCTAAGTCTACTCCTGGGTTCTCCTACGGGACTACTACGAGTATGAAGGATGGTTACGAGGTCTGATGATATTGGAGACAGCGACATTGGGACTGTAGGTTGAGGACTACTCTTGGGATCTGATTTCATCTACCTCTGAAGATGTACCTTGACGTTGTGAGAATCAGTGAGATCGATATCTGAGACACTGTGAGACTCTGTGTTCGCGACATTTCGGATTTTCGCTACTTCTGACATTTCAAGATACTATCTTTGGAAACATTGAGTTGACGTCATCTTCCCTCTCCTCCTCCCTTCGTCTCTCCTCCCTCCATTCATCTGTGTATGAGAATCGCCCCGGCCTTTTCTTCTATATCCAAGGCCAGGGCTTCACACCACCGATGTATCTTTGTGAGCGTTTCGTTGCAATCTGAGTCAGGTCCGAGTCACAATCCATGTATCTCAAGTCTTCCGCTGTATCTGTATATGTATTAACTCTGTATTATCCGGTCGGTTCTGGGAATCTGTGCCATACTTATGACTGTGTCTCACAAGTATGCAACAGTGTGTGTGTGTGTGTGTGTGTGTGTGTGTGTGTGTGTGTGTGTGCCCCAAGGAATTCTCCAATCTCGTCTCCTCCCTGAACTGTGAATATCCTCCCATCCATTCCTCAGATAGACATTCATTTCCTCCACATTTGCCCCATCAACAGATTCATCAGTTCCACCGCTCCCCCTCTCATCACTGACTGTACCGCCCACTGGGCTGTGAGAATCATCCTCTCTAATCTTCTCACTGACCTCATTCTTATGATAAATGCATACTGCATCACCAGATTTTTCAACTCCCCCATTGCCACTTTCCTCCACACAGATATGGGGATCTTGAGGGCCCTCTTCCCGACTTATCTTTTGTTCACACTTTTCCATGCCCCCAGCATCTACAGCACCTTTCTCTCTCACTACCTCACCGTCACTGTTTTTAGGCCGCCCATATTGATGGCACTGGCCTATCACACAGGGCCATCTTAGTTCACCTCCACAGTTCCAGCACCACATGTTGAACTCCATAAGAAGTCCACCGCTGTATCCGCGTTCTCCGAGGTATCCTTCATCTCCCCGAGCTCTTGGCTCACGTGTCCTCCGTGCAGTAGGATGGTAACCACTTGCCTTTTATTTTTTGTTTTATTTTTTGGTAACCACTCGCCTTACTGTCGCCAGATCCTGAAACTGTGCCACTCTTCCTCCATACCGTAGGATGGTACTTTTTGCAGGTTGCAATACACGAGGACCACAGACCCCTTCTTCCAACCGTGCCACTCAATATCACCAGAAATCTTGAGGCAAGTGTTGTTGATGGAGACCTGTCCTGACTTTAGTGACCTCGCATGGATTCCGGGGAGTTGCCCTCGTCTCTTCAAATTTCTGTCCTAGCCAGCGCGTTCTTGCGGTCTGAAGAAAAGTTCGACAAACAATACAGTTCATTCAAACTCTTGACTCCTGCAAGCTAGACGAATCGCCCTACTCTTTCTTTTTTCTTTTTTTTTTCCCCTACTTGATAAGTAGCCGCCCTAAAAAGCGAACTCAAGGCTTAACCCGAACAACAAAACCCTAGGACAGTAGGACTGGAGCGGATCGACTTTCTCAGAAGCGGATAAGAAAGACCCTTCTTCCACCCCTTCCCCTCCTAACCTTCCTTGAGAGAGATCCAACTGTGGAGTCCTAAATGAGGGCGAGATAGTGCTCTCCCAACAAAACTCGCTTCCCATGTCGAATCGTCCTCTCCAATTACTCGTTCGGTACCTCGGCGATGAGCAGCATCGTTGAATCTTCTACAAATCTTCTATAATAATCACCTGCTTTCAATAAGTCTGGACGAGTATCCCTGTCTCTCGCTTGGACAGAAATCGGGCCGCAACTGATCATCGCAAATTATCCCCAAACAGAATATACTGGAAGAAAGGGTCGTCTTGCAAAGCTCCTTGTCTGCCTCAGTGCTCAAACTGTCGCCTTCCGGAATCCGTTTGATGTGCAATCAGACTCGCTTTCATTCACACTTTACATGCATGCAAACAGCAGTGCAGCAAATTGGCGACATGCACCCACTCAGTACTCAGAGATATGGCAACCCAGATACGAGTTCACTTCCAATGGCTATGGCAATATAGCGCCCATACAACTCTCTGTTCGCACACAGTGGATCACTCTGGATATCCCACACGCGTCTCTCTGAACACTCACACACACACACACTGAACACTAGCTATAGCTATGGCGGCTATGGCCGCCTCTACCCTATCGCTATGGCTACACTTCGTCTCTCTGCCCACTTCGTCTTCGGGCTCACTGCAGACCTCCTTGCACAAGTCGCTGTGGCAGCGCTTCCGCATGGCTCACGCAGGAATGAATGAATGGCTGGGCGCTGCCTCTTGATTGATACTTCTGCAGCTCGTTGGTCTGGCCCTTTCCCATGCCCGAAGTGCACACAGTCCCATGCGGTACTTGCTTGACCGGACCAGGACTAACTGGGGACTGGGACTGCTGACTCAGCACCGGTAGACTCCACCACTTGACCACTTGCCTCGCCACTCGCCCACTTGCCTCACTCTAAACGTGGGCAACTTCGAAAGGCCATTACTGGGACCTTCCGGAAGGCCGTAGACTTGGCCTTTCGTGACTGTAGCAGCTACGACTTTCACCCTTCTAGACTGTAGCAGCTACGACCCTGACTCTTCGAGAAGGCTACAGCTATGACTTCTAGACCTGACTAAGACTCCTACTCGACAGGTCTACAGATCGAACCCCGGCGGCCTCTGGACCCTACGACAGTCTACCACTGTTACAAATACACAGGTCACGGGTTCAACTCTAAGGGCCGAGACAGGTACTGTACACAGGTAAGCTGGGGGGCTAGGGATCGAGCCCTGGGATCTGCATCAGCTACTGCGAACTGGTGAATACCGTTTCAGATGTTTGACCGCTGCTTCTTGCTTCTCAAGCCCTGTCCGTAGAATCTGATACAGCCCGCCAAGGTTGGAAAGGGGAGAAAAATCTCCTTTCGTGGCCCGTCCCTCTCCAAAATGTCCTCTTGCTGCCACTCCTGTCCTTGTTGGAACCGTACCTTTCTCCCTTCAGCCACCGCCCTCACGATAACTAGTCCCATTTGAAAACATATTTCCTGAAGGATGAAACCCTGTTGCCCTGTCTTCTACATGCTCGTACTCATACAAGGAACTCCTCCCTGGAGCCCCCCGAGGAGGCTGTTTTCTTCTGCAAATATCCACATTTTGTCCCTCTTTTCGCTGCTCATTTAACCCCCCCCCTCTACGGATCGGGGCAGTCAATGCTGGCAGTCTGAGCATCCTAAGCAGGAGAGTATGGGAGGTTGGCAGGGGGAGGGAGGAACTAGTGTGTAGCAGTAGGGATCTGGCGCCAGTTACAG